TATCCGTCCGCCATACCGCTGAATACAGGCGCGCGGCGAGATACAACTGTCCCACCACTCGTCAACTATCGGCTAGCAACTACCAGCGGTGGGGCGGTCGTATCTCACCGCGCGCTTGCATTCAGCGGTAGGCGGACGGATACGCGTTTATTCACCGATCTTCAAAAATTAATATCTCGTTAACGATTGCGAATTTTGCAAAATGGTAGAGGACTTTTCCGTTCAGTTTTATCTGCTTTACCTGCCCATGAGGTCCGGTGCGGTTATTATGGGACACCTTGTATATGGATTATATATGGGCATTATATATGGACATTATATGTATATGGATACATATTATATTACATACATGTTACCACAGCAATCCACGGTCGGGATACTGCTAAATTGTTTCATTTGTGTTTGTTTTAAAGTACGGATAATTTTATGTCATGTTATCTACGGCCTGTCGTTATCGGGCTTCGTAACCCGCATACCGGAACCATCTGTTAACCCGGGTTATCTTAAATCTCGTGACTGGTATTTATTTTATTTTCTTTTCGAAAATAGATATTTTAAATTATTTATATAAATTGATGTTTGGTTATTTACTCCGCTGCTCTCTTGGCCGAACCTGCTTGCGATTTCTGTCACTGGTTTCCAAGCCGACGAGCTATTCCGCGTATCAACAGCAGGTCGTTTTAAAGTTGTCTTAAAGATGTCTTTTTAATAAAGTTTCAAAAGGCTTTCTTAAGACGTCTTTTAAACGTCTTGTAGCTATTACCAGACCGCGCACTTTACGGCATGTGCGTCTGGCGCGCGCGCCCGCCACATGACGGGCCGCAGCCGTGCTCCGCTTTCTCGCGTTTAAGATTCACCCATGCCTGCTATGAATATAATCCGGCGGGAGGTCTTCAGCCTGTTCCTTCGCTCCTGTGTGACGCGAGCTTTCTACCCCGCAATAGGCCGTCGCACGGGAGAATTGTCTTTAATCAACAGAGCGAACTCGACGGATCTCTTGGAAGGAAGCGGAAGTTCCGGCCTTCCAGGTTAGTGTGGGCCTCTGTCTCCTCCGACTCCTCGTCGTGACCGTCCATCCGGGCCAGCTTCAACCGTCATCAGGAAGCAACCGACACCACGCCGCAGGTCGGGAAAAGGGGACCACTTTATTCTCCCAGGGCGCTCGTCCTCCGCTCTTCACCGCGGAAGCTTCCGACGACTGCCTGTGCCCCTGGGCGTTGTCTGGACCCGAGGATAACGCTTCGCCCTTGGCGCTTAGCCGCCATCGACGTTCCCCGGACGTCTGCGCAGAATTGGCGGCCCTCGGACCCGCGACCTCGGCCGGTCGTTAGCCGAGCGACTCAAACGAAGAACGTCGCCACTCCGTTAAGCCCGCCAGTGCGAACTCCAATGAAGCCGCGGACACCAGATCACCCACGGGACCCTACCAATCAACTTCCCCGGACTCCCGATCGATCACCGCTCCCATCGGTGGAAGTCGCCAAGCGTGCTCGATCGCCCGACCGTTCTCCGTGGGTCCGTCGGTCAAGGCCTTCCGGCCCGCCGAGACATCAGAGCGCTTCGCGGAGGTCCTGCAAAGGATCTCGCAGGCCTCCCTGGATCGCACGAAGATTCGGTCGATCGTAACCATCCCGCTCCAGCCGATCCCGAGATTCGGGCGTCGACCCTTCGTCCAGAACTGGACGAAGACCCTCTTCGACGCAATCAACAAGAAGAACCTCTTGTCTAGCCGACGCTAGCCCCTTTCGTACCTTTTGGTACCGGCTCCTTCGGATGCCGCCCGACTTACTTCAAGTTCTTTCCTTAGAAAAAACCACACTGACATTTCCTACACCTGTAAATACTCTGTAAATACATTTGGAGTCATAACCACCATCGGAGTCATTTATGGAGTCATCCTAATAACCGCGCTCCTTCTCCTGATCCTTCACCATTACAATCCACAGTCTTTTAGACATATGTGTTGTCTGGATACGTTCTCCCAGACTCAAATACGATCATACTTGAAATTCGGAAAGGGTTCTGACGTTTCTAGAGAACTGGCACCCGCGAACGAGGACCTGAATTTAGAACTTAGAAAAAAATTGCCACTTTCTTAGTCTTGAGCACGGTAAATAGATTACGGACAGATCAGACAAAACTCGTCCAGGGTGGAGATAACGATCCTGGATAAGATCAAAACTTCTCGTCAGAATGGTTTTCAACTTCTTTTATCATTATCTCTCCTCAGGAATAGATCTAAAGTTTTCATAGTTAACACTGTTTTAGCATACATTTTGAGAATTAGAGAAATCTTGAGATGCTGAGATAGACTGACTACTCATAACTGCTGGAAAACCTCACGAAATGGCTTCGTCCCAAAAATTAGTTCAGTCAATTAAATCTTGCCTATTACAAGCAGGCATTGATTTTAAAATTTTTCAAGAAACTTTTTTCCACATACAGTACAAAGCATGCTGCAATATTATCGGCTGTATCAAAGAATACATGTAGATGTAGACACCATTACACCATACGCCAAACCGCAGGATAGTCAAAGAAATTTAATATCTTCGCACAACTTTACAACCGCCCCATACTAGAAGGAACTACATTTGCAACATCCGTTCTAAGAGCTCAATAAGGAAAATAATACTTCTCTTTTTTCTATCCAGATTGCTAAAAGCATTTTCATTTATCAATTCTAGGTAAAGACCAATTCTCGGTTATGAGAGTAAATATTAATACTTATCTCTGAACATTTACAAGTTGTTAATCTCAAAGATGCTATATAATGTAAAAGAGACTTGAATATAATTAAACGAACTTACTTGTAAATGACGTTTGATCGTGATTATATGAAGAGTCTCGTCAAGAGATTCAGTCGCATTTCAATCACATCCCTACTCCGTTATAATTTTCACTCACTATTTCTAACGAAAGCATCACAGCCTTGCACCGGAGACGATGCGAAGCGCCCTCTTTCTTCACCTCTGGCTTTAAAATATCGTCTCACTAGCCAGTAGAGTAGGTTACTACAAGTTGTTAATCTTTCGACGAGACTCTATATAATCACGATATATAATATCTCTATATAATCAAACGTCACTTACAGGTAAGTTTATTTGATCGTTTAATTATAATAGGATCTGCGAGACAAATATTTTCTTCTTCAATATTCGAAAATGTTTTCCAATATAGAATCAAAAAACGTCCAAATTTGTTTTGGCGTTATATTAATAATACGATGGTAATACTAATATTATTTTGCGGCCGATTGCGACTACACATTGGACAGAAGATTATATGTTATGAAATTGTACATCAATTTTTTTATTAATGTATTTACGTACTAGCACTGCGTCATACATCAACCCGCAAACAAGTATGGCATTAGAAATAACATGCCAAAACACGATGTGTCCAAAGACGTGCTCTAACGTATCGCGGCATCGTAGTAGCTTCTGATGTTTTGCCACGCATTTCCCCAGTAGGTCCGAAAACTTCTCGGTTGGCAGAGGATTTGTGAGTCTGAAAGTCATGGCGCGCATCGTCGAGATAAATTGATAAACATAAAAGCCAAAGACGTTATCAACGCTGCACGCTACGATGGTGCTTGTTAATCCTAGGCTCGTCTCAAACACCAGATAAAAATGACACAAATAGTTGTCGGGAACGGTCCAAAAGTATCCAATTCTTCTGCTGATTGGCAGACTATAGTTTGTAACTATAAGATGGTGATAGAGACCGCGGATTGCGACGATATACGACGGCGAAGAATATGCCACAACGAGCCCCATCAGAAATATGAAATATGTGTATGCCAGAGTATGTATTGTACGCAGGGGCGATAATATTATCGTCCGAATTTTTTCATTCTGCATAAGCTCCTCCTCGAAAAGATCATCCAGTATCCGGTGATATTTTATCAGAGAGCCGCGATTGATCATGAAGGTTATTATCTTAAAGAAAACCAGCGATGTATATTTCTTCTCCGCGCGAAACAGAAAAATTACTTATAGATTAATGCGATATATTTATATCACAATTTTAAATTTGTAATATTTTAATTTAAAATAAAAGCTTTTTCCTCTTTGCGAAAGATGGAATATTATAACGAAATATTTAATAAAAGACTAATCGATGCATTCAGACTAATGAAGCATACAAATGTTTCATTTTTAACAAAATGTTTCTGCTACGAATCTTCAATTTGACTAAAAATTTGAATGATTTTTTAACGGATGTCATAAAATATTACATAGAGACATATGTAAAATAGAATTTATTTTTAGAGTTATCTGAATGTAATTTTGCGATTTATTTATTTCTTCAAACTTTATCATGCGAATATATTATTGTATTAATGTATTAGTGTTCCATATTGTATACATAAAATATTTTTCTAATCTTGTTCTCTTATACAACATAAGATGCAAGTTTCTTCTAGATCGTACCTTGAGCATGGCGCTATATGCAGATATTGCTAAGCCTATGGATTTCATCATATCTGCCATGTTATGTCTAAGGATGTAGCTCGCGTGCAAGCATACCGACGAGTATAGAATCAATGTCAAAATTAAATAAATTGACCAGTAGTACGTGGTTTTACCGGATTTTGTGGGCATATACCAACAACCACTGATGGTAAGCATAATTCGAATAAAACGCTGGTATATGCGGTACGCTTGTAACCGTTTATCAATCATTGTTTACACCTGCAATCAAATAACTCAAAGAGACGTCAGAAAGGCTTCAGAAACTGAAAAAACTTACAATCAGTTTTCTTAAATATCAGAATGTTATAATTTTCATATACAAGGTATCCCAGAAATATCGTATATCCTTTTACTGGCAGATTTTGGGGAGCATTCTAACAATAAGACAAAAACTCTTGTACGAAAATAGCGAGGCTATAATATTTTTCTAATTATAAACGATTTAAGTTACCAATACTAGCTGAAATTCGTGCGTTTAGCCACATCAGATGGACCCAGATAACCAAGCGGGATTCGTCATATCGAGCAAACTAATGCATTGCATGAGTTGTTGCATATTTGCCATACATTTGTTGACATCGAAAAACAATACATTACGAATACAGCAACATAACGGCTTATACATGTAATCAGTTGATGAAATTT